TTTCCCCCAAAAAAAAAAAAAAAAAAAAAAAAAGAATCAAGTGCACAAAATATGCAGTTGTATAGAATCCCCTAACAGAGAGAGTAAAGTGTGCACTTAAAGGAAATAAAATCTAAACCCAGTTTCTCTTGGGACTTCTATTTTCTGTGATCAGTCATACTTTTAATGCATTTTAACTGGGCTAAAGGAATCAGGAAACCATTTAAGTGATTAGTGCTCTTTGTCTACTCAAAAGGAGGATGCTCATGCTTTGAGAGCATAGTTTCATATTGTGTCAGTGGTATGTTTTCAATTTTAATAAAAAATGTTCCTTCTTGTTTCTGTTGCACGTAAAATCGAAACACTTTTGAAAGAGATGAACAAAAAGTAAATATTATTTAACAGTGTGTTGTGTAGTTCTGTATATAAAATCACCCATTATGGTGGATGAGTGGATAAATCTCAAAGGATGCGTGAAAGTGGTGGCGCCACCTTATTTGTGCGAGGGTGACCCAAGACATTCCAGCTCTAAACGGTGGAAATGAAAGATGGAGAAATAGAAAATGCCTTATGAACTCAAATAATGGCACATTTCTGTATTAGTCAGTGTGACATTTATTCTACCAAAACAAACAACCCTCCAACTTCAGAGTTTCAGCAAAACAGTGGTTTATTTCTCACTTGTTTTGTGTCTTCTCTGGGTTGGCGGAAATCTTCCCTTCACACGGTTACTCAGAGACCCGCCTCAACTCAGGGCTTAACAAGGGAGTACATGGAGATCATGTACCTGCCCTTCTGTGCTTGGGGAAGGAGGTGGCACATGCCCCCATCTACATGCAAGGGGGCAGGGAAGTGTGCTCTTCAATGTGCCTGGAAGGAGAGGAGAACAGGGCTTTGATGAGACATGGGAGAAGCTTCCAGTGACTTGGGCATTCTTATTGTTTCAAGTGGGAAGTAACAAGTGTGTTTCCCTCCATGACTTGTCTTTGTTTTCATTGAATGGAGGATTCTTTAAATTCTGTGGTGCTTTACAATTTTCAAAAGTTTCAGACACATGTTTTTATATACTTCTATAATAACCCTTTTTTCCCTCTACCCCTTTCTTACCCTCCCTTCTTCCCTCTCCCCACTGGTAACCACAAGTTTGTCCGCTACACCTGTGAGTCTGCTTTTTTCCTGTTTTATTCTCTAGTTTGTTGGGTTTTTTTTTTTTTTTTTTTTTAATGTCTATTTAGGTCTTCTGCCCATTTTTATTTTTTTCTATTTTGTTTTGTTTCCTTTTGTTCCCTTTTATTTTATTTTATTTTGTATTTTATTTTATTTTATTTTTTTGCGGTACTTGGGCCTCTCACAGTTGTGGCCTCTCCCATTGCGGAGCACAGGCTCTGGACGCGCAGGCTCAGCAGCCATGGCTCACGGACCCATCCGCTCCGCAGCGTGTGGGATCTTCCCGGACTGGGGCACAAACCCACGTCCCCTGCATCGGCAGGCAGACTCTCAACCACTGTGCCACCAGGGAAGCCCTGTCTGACTTATATCATTTAGCATAATGCCCTCTAACTCCATCCATGTTGCTGCAAATGGCAAAATTTCCTTCTTTTGTATTGCTAAGTAGTATTCCATTATATATCATATCTTCTTTATCCATTCATCTGTTGATTGACACCTCAGTTGCTTCCATAGCTTGGCAATTGTAAACAATGCTGCTATGAACATTGGAGTGCACTATCTTTTCAAAACAGTGGGGTGTTTTTTGGATATATACCCAGGAGTGGAATTGCTGGCTCATATGTAGTTCTGTTTCTAGTTTTTTGAGAAACCTCCATACTGTTTTCCACAGTGACTGCAGCAATTTACATTCCCACCAACAGTGTACAAGGGTTCCCTTTTTTCCACATCCTTGCACATCTATTATTAGTGTTCTTTTTGATGGTAGCCATTCTGACAGGTGTGAGGTGACATTGTGGTTTTGATTTGCATTTCCCTGATGACTAGCAATATTGAGCATCTTTTCATATGCCTGGTGACCATCTGCATTTCCTCTTTGAAAAAAATGTCTATTCAGTTCTTCTGCCCATTTTTTAATTGGGTTGTTTATTTTTTTGATATCGAGTTGTATGAGCTATTTGTATATTTTGGAATTAAGCCCTTTTCATTCATATCATTTGCAAATACCTTCTCCCATTCAGTAGGTTGTGTTGTCATTTTGTTGATGGTTTCCTTTGCTGTGGAAAAGCTTTTAAGTTTAATGAGGTCCCATTAGTTTATTTTTACTTTTGTTTCCTTTGCTTTAGGATATGGATCCAATAAAAAAAAAATTGCTGAGATTCATGTCAAAGAGTGTTCTGCCTACATTTTCCTCTATGACTTTTATAGTATCTGGTCTTAATCCATTTTGAGTTTATCTTTGTATATGATGATAGAGAATGTTCTAATTTTATTCTTTTACATGTAGCTGTCCAGTTTTTCCAGCACCACTTATTGAAGAGACTGTCTCTCCATTGTATATTCTTGCCTCCTTTGTCATAGATTAATTGACCATAAGTGTGTGGGTTTATTTCTGGACTCTTTATTCTAGTCCATTGATCTATGTGTGTGTTTTTGCACCAGTACCATACTCTTTTGATTACTAGAGCTTTGTAGTATAGTCTGAAGACAGGGAGCCTGATTATTCCAGCTCTGTTCTGTGACTTTTGGAGTTCGACAG